AAGTATTACAACCCTTCGCCTTCAAGGTGTTTTCTTAAGGCAAACAAGCTTTGTAATATGTTCATCGTTACTAAGATCCCTTGGAGATGAGCCATCACCAAGATAGCCCACTATCGTCCTAACGGAATTAGGGGCAAGTTGGCTAAGGGTTAACTTGTAGTGATTCAGTAACTTAGGGATCAAAGGGTGCAAAGGAAAGCACCACCCAAAATGAAGGTAATGCACATGGATGCATACTTCCCCTTTGGGGCAGAGCCACAACCTATCACCAACACGGGGGACTCTACTCCTATAGTCCCCTAGAATAAAATACTTCTCGGACAAGGCCGTAATATGCTCCCTGTCGAGTATACTATCTAAGTCCAAGCAAGGATAATGCTCGAAGATCATGCCTCGGCCTCCTCCTCACCTATCGGCCCCTTGGCCTCTTCAGCATCTACCCTTGAAGGCCCAACGGAAGGATGCACAAAGACATCACCCATCGGCCTAGTAGACCCAATACTATCATTAGTAGAGTCTGCACTTTGATGGTCACACATGGCCCCCGAGACATGACCCTCTCCCGTAGGACCTCCATGCTAGATGTCCGAGAAGTGTCCTTAGAACTTCTACTGCTACTGTCACTCCTGCTATTGCTACGACTACTATTAGGATCACTCTAGTCGAGAAGGGTGTAGGCCTCACGATGGAGGACGAGGCCTTACCAAGAAAAGGTTTCTTTTTTTCTTTTTTTTTCTATGAAGAAAGGATTGAAGAACGATTTACTAGAAGCAGAGGTGGTTTGAGGAACTACAAGCAAACCTGCTATAAGCAAAGGATGAAGTCTCTCATGTCTCCTCTATTTTTAAAGGAAAATGGACTACAGAGGTTCACTCTATCCAATTGTTGTAACGAAACCACCTCAACCGCCCATGCCAATGGCCTCCACATGGCATCAACCTCAAAAGATGAAACGACGCTAAGGCCCAAAGACGGTCGCCCATTGTCCCAATCTCAAGGTACGCTGAACCGGCGTGACCATACGACCATTCGTCATGGACACAACTCCTAAATAGCTGAAGCCAAGCTTGTTTTGGGCATGACTCCTTGACCGATGAAGCCGGCGCTTGTGGTTGTCAAGCAACGGAAACAAGCACTTGTACAAGCCACGGTGACTTAGCCACGGCCGCACTAACCGGTTTTGCTTGCGGACCACAAATAGTGAATAGGCACAACAAAGCTATTGACTACTCTCGTCGGCCAAAGCCAAGGCCTCAATGCAACTCACTCGCAACCCTCGGCCTCAGCCTCAAGAGTGGGGGGCAAGTGATGTAGGTATATTTCGTCGGCCCACCAGACCCTGACATGTGGAATTGGTCAAGGGTATTTTTGATAGTTGACAATCTCCTAAGGACAACCGGGTAATCCCCACCCTTAAAGGTTATGTCGCATTTACTCCTATGTGACCGCAATCTATGGGACAGTTACTGGCCATTCATTACTCCCTATATGGGCTAAAAGGTACAACATATATATTTGAACTATCACTTACACTCTTGTGGTGACTTTAGCTTACTCTGAACTCTCGGCTAACTTGACCGTCAGAATCTTCACCCTTAGGAACACTCCCGAGACCTCTGATATCTTTTTACTCTTAGCAGGTGGGACCTATAGCCCTTGGAACTCGAAAATTACTTCACTGCCCTAGGCTCCAAGTTTGGCAGCGTCACTCCCTAATTTGAGAAACATCAATATTTGGTTTGGTTTCGAGAAATTGAGAGAGAGAGAGAATGAGTTTTTCGGAAAGTCATGTCTTAATACAAGTATTTGATTGGTATGAATAACCTACTAAATATATCACTTAATGAAGCCGAGGAAGGCTTTAATCTTGGGGGTCTCCGTGTAGCAGAAGCTTAGAAATTTAATTGATTTCTACGTAGATTGTGATGTGAAAGCTAGTGGGAGGAAGAGAAAATCTTGTAGGGATACAGGAGGGAGAGGGAGAGCCCCTTTATGATTTGTGTTCTATATGGTAGATTGGCTTGCTAGAGTGGCAGTTGTCGGGTTTACAGGTTTGCTGGTCTTGGTGTTGGATTTTCGGTTTGCTTAGGAGGTGTTTGTTGTTGTCTGATCGTTCCTTTTTTGTAGTGGTGGACCGAGATTACATTTCGGTGTATATATTCGAGTTCACAATATTTTATTAAATCTTTTTAATGATATTAATTAATTTCCCTTATCAAATTCTAGGTTAGTTCTAACTTATTGCATCAGGTCATCATCATTTGAGCTTTGGGCCTTGTATTAACTATATGGGATTAGTTACATGAATTTTGTTCTATTCAGGGCCATATTAATCAATTCAACTTGCACTAAATTATGAAATATTAACTTTTTTGTTCGTTCTTATCCAATTTACATTAAATTATGCACTCTTTTTTATAAGAAGCAAAAGTAACTTTTTTGCTTCGTTCTTATCCAATTTTACATTAAATTGTGGACTATTTTTTATAAGAAGCAAAAGTAACACGAAGGATCTATTACAATTGTATACAAGGTTTTAAAAACTTAATTGGACATGGAACCACTCTGGGGATCGGTTCCCAGGTTAAACGGTCCGATCATTCATTTCGAATCGATGGCCCATTGTGATCTAAAAATGTAAAAATTTAAGAAACAAATAAAATAAAAAGTAGTCAAAACTCATTGTTCAGGTTGATGGGTCAACAATTCAATCACCTAAATCAGTGGATCGCCGACTAAATCAATGACTTTTAGTCAAAAAACAGTTTAGGGTGAAATAAAACCGATCACCTGACCGATTTCTAAGTCAACCAGTTTAATCAACCAGTCCGATCCGATTTTCAAGCATGTTGCACCACTCGTATTGGCACAAGAATTAAGGAACCCAAGAGCCCACGTAAAAGTAGTTCACCAAGACCCACTAATAGTTGAGGGAATCCTGTCTCTAATTTGTCAATCCAAAACGAATTATTGGATTGAATTAGTGAAATATCTCCATCAAAGCTATGCCTAGTTGCTAGTTGCTAAATGCTAATACGACTTTTTTTTTGATAAATAAATGAAAATTTTATTGAAAAAGAAAAAAAAAAGAGAAAAGAGACGGGAAATACAATCTGAAATCTGAAAGCATAAACCAGCTCAGAAACAAAAACCACCAAAACTACAAAGCATCCAGAATGCAAAAGAAAAATAAAAATTGGGATTTACTGTATTCCACCTCAGAATTCTGATTTGAACTACATACCTACAATAATTCAAAATTATAAAAATCCCAAGAAAATTTTGCAATACTCACTCCCCAAAACAGCTGCAAAAAGAGCACTAATATGTATATGGCCTCTTCATCTATGGTGACCCAATTTCCACCTCAGACCCAATTGCCAAACACACAAAACCTCACAAAAAACCTAACTTAGAACTGCGAATTCTTCCTCTGCCACTTATCACTTTTGCCTTAAATTCACCTTCACTGAGGCGTCTACATAAAAATCTATCAATCTTTTTAACTTTCGAGTGTCAGGGAGACCTCCAAACTTAAACTTTTGCTAATACAACTTGATTCTTGATTGAGAAAGAGCATCTTTTTTACTCTAAAAAAAAATCTTGATTGAGAGAGACCCCTCCAAACTGAGGGGTTTTGGTGTGGTTCAGAGTTCTGACCATCTTGTCCGTTTTTTTTTTGTTTTTGACTTTGAACTCGTTCTGTTGAGATTTCTTTGTTCTTTCTATTCTTTCTATTGATAAATTTTATACTTTACCTTTGTTTTTAAAGAGAAAGAGAACTCTCAGTTGCTAGGGTTTCTGATTCATTGTAGTAGAGATCTAGAATCAAATCCAACTGCACTACCAAGGTTGGGGGTTTAAGGGGATGGGAAATGGGCTACCCCACTCCGTCCCCCATTGTGTAGAGAGAGAGCCCTGTTTTGTATGTGAGAAATTGATTGAAAATGTGAATTAACATTTAAAATTGGACTGGATTTTTAATGGACCCAATTTGATGGGATCCTATCTGAACTATAATATAATGGTCCATTTAGTACTGGTCCAATCTGATTTAATAAGCTTAAAAGACATCCAAATCCAATTTTATTGGATTAGGCCAACCCAAACCCAGTCCATTATTGACAGCCCTGTGCCCCCAACCCTGATTTACATAATACTTTTCCTATATTAATTAATAAAAATAAAAGATTTTCATCCAATGACCTTGGACGAACTGTAGATTAACAAAATTAAACAATTAGCATTTTGAAACTACACATAACAATGAGATATTTCACATTGTTCTTCATAGAAGGGATGACAACAGGGCTGGTTCAAGGGGGTTTTGTAAATCCTAGATCCTCTTCACCTAGTCAAACCTTTCAACTCGATCTCCAAAACTCATAATGGGTTTGATTTTCAGAATCCAAACCATCCCTGCATATAAAAATGCAAAACCCTCTCCAACCCTTCCCTCTTCGCATTTGAGGGTGGGTGGGTAAGGTCCACTCCAAAACTAACATCTAATTTCATATTATTTTTTTACACCTCTAATTTTATATTATATATATACAATAAATAAGCATAATAATATGAACAAACAATAAAATTTTTAACTTTTTAATTATTTGATTAAAATAGATAAAAAACCCATAAAATATCAGTAGCCTTTCACATATGATTCAAAACATTATTAAATTCAACACCTAATATACAAGTTCATATACCTTACAACGAAAGTAAACATCCAACTCATAATGGTTAAGTTCATATATAGTGCATAAAATGTGATACACAAATTAGCATAATAGCGAGGGGCATTTTAATAAATTCAAGAAATGGATCGGGGAGGGTGGGGTTTACCCTACCCTACTTGTACCCGTATGAGTTATAAAATCTCAAAATCCATCCCCGCCCCCAAAATCTGCTTTTCAAACAAAAAAGTTATCCCAAGTGCATATATCACTGACAGAGAGATCATTCATCTACTGATTAATCTACTTGATTTGGGTTCAAACCTGATTAATCTTGATGTCAACATGTGGAACCATCTTTGAACGAGTCCAGATGGGAATATTCACTGACAGAGAGATCATACGGTCGAAAACATCTGAAACCTCAGTGCCTCTGGAGCGTTGTCTCCCTGTGGCTTTGGCAAGGACGTGCGTTCTCTTAGTTATATCCACCCCATCTTCAAGCTTTTCTCCCTTCTCCTGAAACCAATCTTCTTTTATCATCTACTGATCATTCATCTAATGAATTAGTGGAAAAGTATTAATAAGTTTCTAGGGTTTGTTCTCCATTAAGTAATTAATACAGATCCAAAACTTAAGCAACAGATCTAGTTTGATAGAGAGAAATGAACCTGCATTTCGTAAGTCGATCTAATCGAAGCATCCATGTTTCCAGCATGCAGAAGATCACAAAGTTGCTTACCAACTTCATCGAACTCATCTTTATAACCAAATTCCAGTTCAGCACCCCAGAATTGCCTCAGGCTCTCCAGGTAGAATGACTGTACCAGACCAAAGTACTTAAAAGATTGGAGATAGAGCGTAGAGATCGATATCCCATCTCTTAGAGGAGAACAATCCTCTATAACCAACGTCCTTATACTGGTTATGTTTTCAGATATGTTGAGGACATTCAGATTCTTACACTTTTTGAGCTTTAGATTCTCTAACATCCTACAGTTTGTCAGTATAGCCCGAAGCCATGGCCAAGTTAGCTTCTTCCATTCCACAGAAAGCGTCCTGAGTTCATTAAAATTTCTGAACCCCTGGAATCCGCAGGCTGATAACTTCAACGACTGTAGCATCCGGCATTGGTACACAGACGACGGCAATCGAAAGGGGGCTCTGTGATTCTCAGGCCTATCTCTAATCCATGCTGGATCAGAGAAGTCAAGATCAATTTCCACGACGTGTCGATCTACGGCAAACCTAATCCACTGTTCTACCTCCAAACGCCGCTTCAATCGGAGCTTGTTGGACCAACAAAATGATAACCGGAATTTATCCACCTTGGGTTGCCGGTAATGGCAGATCCACTGCTGGGAAAACTTGAAAAGCACTTCTCTCCGAGCTGTAAGCTTTCGAGTTGATGGTGAAGACGATTTCCTACCCTGGGTCTGAACATCTGACGCTATGAAGAAACTCTCGTCGAACTCAATACTCCTGGTATGACGCCATACTTGATTCCATCTTTTAGAGAGCACGCTCGTTCGAACCGCTTCTTTGAAAGGCAGCAGCGAGATGATTATTACAAGGATGGACTCTCCAAGATAACTCAAGGGATCGAACCTGCGACGAGGACGACGACGACCCATTGACAATGAGAGATGGAAACCCTCAAAATTAAGCTTTAGGGCTGGAGTGACTGAAAAATTTAAACCAGTGTATGTACAGAACATGTACAGATGCTCTAATATTCTATTTGCTACAACTAATGCCACTGAGATTTTTCCCAAAATAACATCTCTTAGCCAATTTATTTTGTTCTAATCCTATTCATTTATTATGGAATATGGAGATTTTATTGCCCATAAACGGTTTCAATTCTAAGTGACAAAAGAATCTCTGTATTTCCATATACTAGTAAGTGGCACATGATTTTGCACGTGTTAATTTTAAATGATGATAATTATAGTAATAATATATTGAAAATTTTCTATAAATTTTTTATTTTTTGTTATGTATTTTTTGTTTTTCTATAAATTTTATTGCAAAATTTAAATCTGATTACATAAATATCTCATCCAAATATGTGATAATCAAATCGAATTATGAAATTTCAAGTATCATTGATAGCCCTACCTTCTTGGCTAGACTCTTTTTTTTTGTAGTATTTTATCTTTTTGGTGTATCTTTTTTCTTTTGTTCATTTATCAAAAAAATGTAAGATTTAAATAGAGGGAATTGAATGAGATAAAAAGTTGTAGTTCAATTTAAAAATTAAACCTTGCAATTAAATAGGGACTAAATTCAAAGATGAGTATTTTAGTTACTATTTTAAAAATCAGACCAAACCGGATGGTCGAACTATTTGGCCCAAGAATTGGTCATGTCACCTGTTCTGTTTTGGCCTTGAACCGCTATTTTACAATAACAAAAATCGTTGAAATGGTCAAAGAATCATTGACGTAGACGATTTAACCGTTAAAATGTCCAACCCGGTTAACGGTTTTCAAGTTGCATTCAAACTAATTACAAATTTTTAATTTATTTTAAAATAAAAATTGAAAAATAAAAAAAAGAAACTTTCATATCTCATAATCTTGTTCGATTATTTCCAATGGTCAAATTAATTAGTGTTTTTAGTTTTTCTATTTTGATTTTGAGTTTTCTCATTTCTGTGATTCTTTTTAAGTTGTAACTTAAAAAAAAAAAAATTGCAACTCCAATGAAGAAATCGAAAAATCAGTGCAAAAGATGAGAGATTAAACATCGATCTTATATTAAAATCTGATATACAACAATGAAACAAACGATTTGTAATTTGAGATAGATTTAGAGAGATGAGAGAGATGTACAAAGAGGACAAACAGTGTTGTAGTGGTGGTGATGATGAACATGGAGATAGCCAATGGCAGTTCTTCCTCCTCCTCCTTTTTCTTCTTCTTTTTCTTCTCAAGGCAAAACGATTCTGCAACAATAATCGGTGAACATGGTGACAACCACCTCCAACGAGGGTTCTTCTTCTTCTTTTTCTTTTCTTTCTTTTTCCTCACTTGTCAATTTTAACTAGCTACCTCCTCAAAGCCTCACATTCCGTTCTCATTATAATGTATATATACGGTAGACTTTAACCTAATCCTAATCTAATAATCAAAATAAAAAGTTACATTATATTTTACATCTTACCGGTTTAACTCACTCAAATTGGATGATTGAACTGCTAACCTGAAAACTGGAAGCCAAAGCGGTTCCATTTTTGGGCTGGTTTTTTAAATCTTGATTTGTCAAAAGAAAATTCTACAATCTTATTAACATTTTTAATAGTGTAAATATAAAATTATAGATGTGTTCAATTTTTTTGTATTTTTGTGTATACAAAAATTCTGATACGACACATTTACTTTTTGTTTAATATGATAAATAAATGATATTATACATGTACTTCAATGCTTTTCTTGCAAAATTTATGTATTTTTTCATTTTTATATTTTTATATTTTATTATTTATTTATGACATCAAAGATTAACACATTTAACCCAAAGTTATATTTCATTTTTGGTCGGTTCTAAATTATGTATTTCATTTTCATTATCAATAAAAATAATTCTTGTTTATTATACTTATTTTTTTAATTTGATTAAAAAATATAATAAATGTGTCTAATTTTTTTTGCATTTTTTGTAAATTTTTATTTTTATTTTTATATTAAAAATTTTATTACCTAACTATGACTTCATAGGTTGATCATATTTGGATGGTTGAATTGCTTAGCCACCACTTGAATAAAAAATGGTTTTGTTTTTAAGTCATTTTTATATTATGTGGGTTTATATTGTTAATAAAAATATTGACATAGATCTAATTTGTAGCATTTATTAGTGAAAATAATTTAAAAATATAGGATTTAATAAGAGAAAATGGGATTTAATGCCTTAAGTATAAGACTTAATAAAAGGGGATTAAATGATGTGAAAAGTAATAATTGAAGTTATATTTTCAACCCTTACAATTAGAGATGAATTAAATACACAAATATGTCCATTATAGTAGCCATTATAGATGGTATTACAACTAAATAAAATAACTTTTATACCCTTTCTCAAACAAAGAAATAGAGGGTAATTTTAGTCCAAAAGCTTTTTCACATTGCATTCACACTTTTATATATAGTATAGATTATCTCTGTTTTAATTTCTTTTTCTCATTCTAGAGAGAAAGGAAAAGAATCAACTTTGGGATTTATGATCAATGAATGGTTGCCCTTGCATATATGTAAGTTCGAGATAAGCTAGCATCATGGTATAACAAATACAATATTAAAAATGATTGAGAAAAACAAGAAAAAAATGCAAAATAGAGTAACTCATAACAATATACACATTTATAGAAGGCCAAATTTCTTAAACTACCTTTATGGTTTAGGAGATTGACTATTAACTATTATCTTAAACCACCCTCTTTGTTTCTCACAATTGCCATCGTCATTAAATCGTAAAGGAAAGAATGAAATATCCCTTTTGTCCTTAAGTTAAATAATCGCACGAAAGATAAAATTATGTTTTTAACCTTCGATTTAACACATAGGTGTGGTATAGTTCATATCAACGGAGCACCATTACCCAATTAGAGATGGAGCACCATCGCCTACAATGGTTACAGTAACAACTTCCGAGAGATGGTGCGACAATGAGATAGTGTTTCCTATGTAGTTTTTTATGGAAAAAATGCCATTCATCATTAAACGAGTTTAACTGTAATGGTGTTAAACTCTTTCAAGTGATTGAAGGTTTCACAAAGCTCAAACTCAATATAATTGTCAACGGCTTCATCTTTCTCCACATCGAGGCTGGCGGAAATACCTTCGTTAAGACAGGTGCTATCCGGGAGTTCTCCATAGGCCTTCAAGAGGATGGCCTCATCGAGCACTTTGGGCACTTCCGAAATTGCTCTGTCTCCTCGTCGAAATCTCTGAGCTCCTTGAAGATCACTTGAACAGTACAACAATCCTCATAAGTCCTTCGGATTCCCCACAAACTGGTGAAATATAGTTTAGAGGAACACACCTTCAGAGATTTAGAGGTTAGGGTAAGAGTGTATCAGAAGAAATCGATCGATCTACGAAACAAGTCTTGATTTCAGCTCCTTTTTTATCTACACGCAAGGAGAGACAAGACACAAAGAAGAAAAGAGGAAAGCGCGCGAGTATCCTCTTCCCATCTACTTTGCCACGGTCAAAAAGGCGAGAGAATCAATGAAGCAGCCTAGCTCTCTCTGTCTGGATTTAGCAGAGAGGAAAGTGAGTATCCTCTTCTCAGCTACTTTGCCACGGTCAAAAAGGCGAGAGAATCAATGAAGAAGCCTAGCTCTCTCTGTCCGGATTTCCTTACTGAATGAAATTCAAATCAAAGCCAAATGAAATCTAAATGCAAATTAAATTCGTCGGACCCCACTACCTTCTATAATATCTAACCGCCTTAGTGGGTACAACTTAGTCAGTCTACTCAAGGATTAAATTATCAGAAATTTGGAAATGGGTGTGCTTGGGAAACACATGAATACCGATCAAAAAAAAGAAAATGTTTGGATAGGCTAAAAAAATGCATAAATTTTCCATAAATATATTAATAGCATTAAGTTTAATGTCAAAACAACTATAAATAATTTATAAACACATAGTAATTGTATATTTAAATGATATATTATACAATTTTATTAATAATGCATCAATCAAGAGTCCTAAGCATATATATATTATATAGATTTTTACAAATTAATTCATGCAAAAAGCCAATATTATTTTATTATCTATTAAAGTGTAAGGTATAAAGCATATGCAAGTATTCTATTTGAATTATTATATCATTTTTTCCATTTTACTATTTTTATTTTTAACGTTAACAAAAAATCCAACTAAACATTAATTCTCGAATGTTTGATAAACAATATTTATATTTTTGTAAACAATAAATATGTTATTATCAAATATAAATTAAAATATCAATTAATAATTTATAAAACATATAATCGTAACTTAAAATATATCAAATCTATTAAAATTTTGAAGATGCATATCATCTAAAAATTCATAAATTTTAACTAAAATAATTATTCAATTATTAATATTTTATTTTTATAAAATTTCAAAATTTATTTTTTATATAAAGTATAGATAAATGGATTTGATAGATTTAATTTAATTATATTATATTTTTAAATGCTTTGTAAACAATTTTTTTATTTTTGTAAATAATAAATACGTTGTTATTTAATGTAAATTAAAAAATTAATTAATAATTTATAAAAAATTAAGATATATATCATGTGCAAATTTTATAAAATTTAAGCGTTAAAATAATTATTCTATTATTACTATTAAAAATAATTATAATATTATTAATATATTATTTGTATAAATGTTTTAAAATAAAATTCATTTTTGATATATATGTGGATTTTGTAAATTATTTATCTATTGATTTATAAAATACTAATTTTGAATATTGTTCTTTTTAATTTGTTGTTGAAAATAAATGTATGTTGTTTTTTTGTTTGTATATAAACATTAATTTTTAATAAAAGTTAATTTATTACACTTGTTGACATGAAATAAGCAATGGCTTTGTTGCCAAACCTAGGCTTGAGTCACGCTACTCCTCTTTATAGGGAGGTGTTGCGTCAGTCATTGGAACCATGGTCAATATGTTTT